AGTATGGATCACAGGTCTCTGAACTAAAGTTTGCAGGAATCAAAGACTTTCTATGGTTTCTGTGGTACCAATAAGTTCAAAATAAGTACAGCATGAACTAGCTCACTAGTTCAAAGAAATTTTTCTATAAATATATATTTGACAGTTATCAGTTAAGTTTTAAAAACAACTACTAAGTCAGCAAGTTTAGTAGATTAATTATTATCAAATATAGTAAAGATATACTGGTACCGATGGTTTTCAAATACAGGAAATGACTTTAAATACTAAAATATAGGTTAAAATACCTAATAGTGTAAATATTATGGTTTATCTTTCCTCTCACATTAAAGGGACAGGTAGGCCATTTTTTTTTCACCATTCTCTGAAACTGAAATTCTTTAGCTGAGCCAATCAGTTATAGTGTTCAAAGCTCAGCATCGAAATTCGAGCCTTCAAATCCATGTGTATCCAGAATTATCCGCGATTGAATGTTTAAATGACGACTCATCAATTTAAGATACTCTGTGATATATAGAAAAGACACAGATAGAAATAGTGAGTAAAATTCCTAGTTTGAAGTATTTTCTAAATGAATTATGCGATTTTCGTATTTTTTCTTCTGAGTATTTTCATATATTCAAGATTAAAATCACCCCCTAAACTGTCCATTCAAGTGGTAACTCAGTGCATTTTAAAATGTTCTAATATTGACATACTTGAATGTGACTGAATTAGGCTGTAATAGACTTTCAGAAACCAACATTTTAACTTCTATGTATATTAAATGTTGGTGCTCTTCTCTAAAAGTGAATTATCCTCTGAAAAAGGTTCATTTGAAACAAAATTTCCTGAATTAAGACCAGAATAATTTTCAACCATTTTGAGCCCACAATCAGACATGACTGGTAAATACATGCAGATCAACAGTCTTCAAGACATAGTTTAGAGGTCTCTTGCTTGGAGAATTTGTATCAAAAAGATAAAAGGGAAGGACGTGCTAGATTCAAAATGACGTGAATTCTTTCTAACACAGATTCTATTATTTAATTAAAGTGATACTACGTCTTAGAATGAACATAATATTTAAGTTCTCGAAAAGGTCAATGTTAGTCTATATTCATCAGTGAACTTACCTGGTGTCATAAAGTTACAACAGAATCCCTGTAAAATCTTGAAAATTCATTTTCCTAAAACTAAGTAATTATTGAAATATTAAGCATTTTTCAATAGTTAGTTGCATATTTATGGATAATTACTAAGTTTTTTGGATTTATAGGATTATATAAGAATTCTGTTATGTTATTTATGACACCAGATATATCTACTGATGCTCTTATTGGCCAAGTTTAAAATTCTTAAATTTTATGTTCATTCTAAGATGTAGTATCACTTTAACTATGGGATGCAATTAGTTTATATTTTACTCTTTATATCATGATTAATATCTTCCAAAGAAATAATTTCCCAGGCTTCTAAGTTCCCAATCTGACTCAACATTGATCAAATATTGATAACATTATGGTTTGATGTTGACCACTAGAAACAGTATGGTATGTCCACAATGCCTAGTGGTCAGACAATAATAAATACCATAGTGGTCAACACTCTACATACTGACCCTATTGTCTTATATTATTATATTGTCAATATTTTGTACTGTTACCGTATGTACTTGGAAAAATGTGACTTCTGCAGACAACAATTACAGTGCATTGCTTCATTCCAAATATCAAATGGGTATACACAAATACTTTTTCAGTGTTAAACTGTTATGAACTGCATCCAATACCTTGACATCATTAAGCAATTTTGTTGTATCACAGAAGTAAGTAAATGAAGCGATTCGATTCGATTGTATGCTAACAAATACAGGCAACCAGAGCCCTTAACAGAAAGACCATAAACAGTATGGATGCTTGATGATCTTAGCAATTTATCAATAGCCTATATTAGGCTAGCACTCAGTTACAAGAGGGTACATTTATTGGGAACAATGCGGTACCTCCAGACAAAACTGATATTCTTTAGACTAGCCATCAACTGTTGATATCAGGTGGAATTGGTAAAATATAGAGTAAAAAACATTCCTGCGAGTCTTAGACTTGTATCAATTACCTTGTATCCTATAGACTCTAACAAAATACATTATAATGATCAGAGCTGTAGAGTTTTTTGTAATTTAGCATTTTTCACCTTCAATTACTGACAGCTGGTAGATTTGTATCATGAGAAAGAATCTAAGATATTTTTTACAAATACTGGAATTTCATTCATTATTTTGCTATTAATCTCCAAAACACAAGCATTGGTATTATTCGGAATTGGTCATTTGTGGTTTAAATGGTCATAGAAAGTGCTTCAGTTTGTCTTTGGTATGTTAATTTTATTTTAGTATATAACTGCATTACCAAATTAAGAATTTCAAAAAGCTGTATAAAGATGTTATTTCACTTTTGGATGAACTCTAATTAAGAAAACTAGAGAAGAAAAATGCTTCTGAGGGCAAATCAACAAAAATTAGAATCACAAAATTTTGTTTTCAATGAATGCACTACAAAACTTTTAACATTTAAGATTCATAAATTCTGTTTATTTTAAAGTTACCCTTTGATCATATGTTCAATATATTGAAACCAATACAGACGCCATATTTGCTAAATGTACAATTTACATGCTTGTGTCATGAAATCCTATCTTATCTATTGTTTAAAGGGGTGGAGTAAAATGAGCTCTAGTTACACTGTTGTAGTTGTTTCTTTTTACTTTACACTTTGACAGTTGGAAAACTTGCATTAGCTATATCTATTTCTCCTCTGTTTGAATTTGTCCTTTGAGGAAGATTTTTGATTTGTAACAATTAAAACCTTTTGACTTGGGTGAAATTGATGCTGCATGCATGTAGCTCTTTGATAAGATGTTCAATTTCCAGTTCTTACAGAAAGAGTTTCATATGATTAATTGAACCTCTTCTAGTCATTCATTTTTGGCGAATACTTAACCTTCTTTTTAACCTCTGCTCTAAAGAGACAGACTCCAAAACATTTTCATTTTGCAATAACAAGAACACAACTGATAAATATAGATCCCGCGTTCTATGACTGTTATGGTGGTAATAGAATATTCAATGATCTATGATGTATGGTGTGTGTCAAGGTATCAGACAACTATTATAGATGTATAAAGTGTAGGGGGTAGTCTGCTAGTTGTTTTGATGTTTAGACATATTTTTAACTATGACATTTATATCTTTACCTTTACATTCTACAGATTTCTGCCATTTCTTAGTTTCATTCATCTTCTCTTACTATCATTCACCTGATCTGATAGACTTAGAATCTTAAACAAGAAACATAATGAATAAATTAAATATCCAACTGTTCAGCAAATTAGTTATAGGCTAAGGAATGAATATTGGAATTGTCTTGCTACGACAGCTCTCGATTCCAGTTTGAATTCCATCTTTTGTAGTATCAGTTACTATTTAGAAGCATTACATTTCAACATACCTGACAAAAATTTTCAGATAACCTTTTATTTTTCATCTTTCATATCATTTATGGCATCATATTGTTTATAGATTGTCATTAGTTCAGATAACTTAAAAGAAATTTTGTTGTCATGGAAATTTGAAATGTTTAAAGTCATTGATTTAAAGGATTATGGATGGGCAGAGCCAGGTTTAGGTTCGAAAGGGGAGAGAAATATCTGAGATTGCCCGAATTTCTAACCTAGTTATGAGATTTTTGTCCGAAAAACTTGCTTTCGGGGCTGCCCTCTTTGGCACTGCCACTGATGGGCATTCTTACTTTAAAGATTTCCAGATCTGTCCACCTAAAATATTTATGTAGAAAATGAATGAAGACAAACAAATAAACAAGTAAGTCAACATAGTGACAAGCCCTTGATCAGCATGGTTATAGTATAGGTAAATACTGATTGAACATATTAAAACAATCAACTGTAGGAGTGTTATTATTGGCAGAATTCTTTCAATGACGCCAAATTCCTCCTGGTACTCTCTAGAATGATCGTTTCAGATGCTGAAAATAGCAAATATGTTAAGATATGGACAAAAAAACTTGGTGTGTCACAAATAAATATTATTGTAAATAATACGTTTTGTGTTTCAACCAATCCTGTGGTGTGTGGTTATTTTCTGCATACTATTAATAAAACAACATCCGGGTCATTCTTCAAGAAACCCGCCAAGGCTGTTAAACACTTGTTGTAATTTTGCAGTTTTTAAACTACGATTACCAGCCGTTTACTTGCCGATCGGCTTTTGTTTCTTGTAAGATAAGTAGCATATTATTGTCTGATTAATTTCAGTGTTTGAACGGATCGTGTCAGCGACGAGTTAGTCATAATATTATTAAAAAAAAAGCGTTTGGTGCTTGGCCTCGTTTTCGTTTGGTTGATATAACATGGCGGGTTTTCTTCCTGTACATGAGCGTGCGCCTCTTTATTCCGTAAAAAAGTCGACTGTATTGCTTCCCGACGTTTGCTCATCACCTCCTTTAAACATTCTTATATTTGGTTCTTCATATATAAAACGGTTAGCGGTTTATTTATCGCATTTTAATCATGTTAATTTGGATTTGGATCGGCGTGTGTGTCGAGTAACTTGCTGGGGACATGGCGGTCTGTTAGTCCGCAATGATCCGCACGGAAGACTGTCCGTCACGAACTCGAGATTTTCGGAAATGGATATAATTATGCTCCATCTAGGATCGAATGATTTGTGCGACATTTTATCATTTCCGTCGGTTATAGCTCGGGATGTCTTTGACTTCGCTAAAGATGTGTTGTGTGTTTGGCATCCCAAGTTAGTTATAATAAGCCAACTTTTGCCCAGGCAGTGTGAACCTTATAACGGCTATAATGCCAAGATTTTGGCTACCAATATGGAGTTAGAGGCTCTTTGTTTTTCTGAGAGGTACATTACATCTTGGAGGCATAGAGCTGGGCTCCATCGGCCCCTTGTAAATATTTATGCTGCTGATGGTATTCATCTTTCTAATATGGTGGGAAATTATAAATTAATGAAGAGTTTGCGTGATGCTCTATTGAGGGGCATGCGTTACCATCTACGCATGGTAGGTCTGTTTCATGTCTCTTGGGAGATATGTGGTACCTTGGGTGCCTGTTTTTTATCATTGAGGGGCATGCGTTACCATCTACGCATGGTAGGTCTGTTTCATGTCTCTTGGGAGATATGTGGTACCTTGGGTGCCTGTTTTTTATCGTTCATTCTCTGATGATATGTGGTACTTAGGGGTGCTTGTTTTTAATCATTCATATCTTGGAGATATGTGGTACTTAGGGGTGCCTGTTTAGCTTTTTTATTTATTAAGTGATATCTTGGTACTGGTATGATACTGTAAGTAAATTCCAAACACTGTGCTTCAGTCAGGTGATTAATATTTAACATATGTCCAGTTAAAACATGCTGTGGCACTTGCATTTGGCAACATCAGGTTTCCTTGCCAATGATTATTTGTGTTCTTACCTTCTGAAATTATTTGTAGGGTGATGTCTAAACGTGGATCGAAGCGCCCATTAGATGAGGGTAGTGGTGAGCCGTCAACATCTGGATCATGTCCCATGTCAACGGCTGAAGACAGATTGACCGAAATTTTGATTAAAAAATTGATTGATAGAGGTTTGGTTAGTTCCATCCCTACACCTACTCCACAGTCAACTGCCTCTGCTTCAACTACCTCAACTTCAGCTTCTGAATTTACTGCCTCTACTTCAACTTCGACTGCCTCTACTCCTGGGACATTTGTACCGTTATCAACCACATCGACTGGAAATAATCAATCAGTGTTTTCTGTAAATGCTGCGGCCTTGTTTCAACCTGCAGACATTCCAGATGCTAACAGTGCCAAGTCTGATTTAGGTATGTCAATTTCAAGACATGTGTCAGAAAAACTTCAGCAGGATATATGGATGGACAAATTTGTTGAATTTTCTTCCTTACTCCCTGGAGCCGTGCCATCTCAACTCTCTCTAAATTTTTCAGAGTCAGATGTTGAACCTGTTCTCAAAATCACCTCGTCTCAAAAAGCCAGAATACTTAATTTAGACCAATGGCAACATGCTTTTTCCATATTTATGGACGTTTTGATTCAAAAATCACCTCAATTGACCTCAAGCTTATTGGTCTACCAAAATTTGGTTACAGAGTTGGCCCGGCTCTATGGAATAAAAGCCATGCAGTTTTACGATACACAGTTTAGGATGAATAGGCAATCTTGTCCTCATCCTTGAATCAAATCCATGCAGATAC